TTGAGATCCAATCTTCACCGTTTATTCAAGTCGGTTTGATCCGAGGGCTCAGGATTGATGCTCTGGCCGATATATATCAGCCCCTACCGCCCTCTCTCAGTAGATCTTTGAAGCCCTAATTCATATTCTCCTCGTTAGGATCAGAGCCAGCTATCAAAAAAAGATTAGTCCTCCATAGGATCTAGTCTTGTAAATAATAGTGAGATGGAGAGTGAGGTAAGAGTTTGGAGGAGATACCGGCCTGTCAGTGCTCTCTCTATGGCTTGTACCTTGGTGGATCCAAGTTCTATCTGAGATTGCCTCTGAGATTTCTCTAGTAATCAATGTCTAATTCAAGTAAGCTTCTTGTTTATATTATTCATTAGGTTCACAACTCATTTGAGTGCTTTATTCTTTATCCGTGAAGAGTAAAGTAGTAATTGTAGTATAAGCGTGGTGCTTAGACTCTGGTTACTTGTGGATGCATCCTGCATTTTGGATCGGTGGTAGCTCGCGAGGGTGACTCTTATAGCCTTGTTGAATCCTCTGTAGTCCATCTCCCGTTTGTAAGTCAAGTAGGACGCGGTTACTATGGAAAGCATCCTCTGCTAGTGTCTTTCCTTAAGTAACATCCCTAGTTGAATAGTAGAAGACATAGCTTACCCAAGTCAGAACTAGAGAACCTTAGTTTTCCTCTATATGTGCCTATTTATCTTAACCTTGTTAATACCCCTAGTAAAGTTAGATTGTAGTTAGTCTCACATGTTTCCCTGTGGATACGATACTTTGAATACTTCCGGGTGAAAGCAACAGCGGTATCCATGCGCTAGCGGATTTATCTATGTGTGTTAATTTATACCAACAAAGTTCAAGAAAGTACCATTGCTATATGACAATGAAAGTGCAATCAAGCTAACCAACAATCAGGTTCAATATGTAAGAACAAAGCACATTGATGTCTACCACCATTTCATAAAAAGATCATCAATAAAAAGGGGTCATTTCAATTGAGAGTGTGGGCACCGAAGATCAACTTGCCGACATATTCACCAAGCCACTTGATGAGAAGAGGTTTTGCAAGCTAAGGAATGAGTTGAACATATTGGATTTCTCAAATATGTGTTGATGCACACCCCACCTATATGACATGCCTCTCCTTCAAGCAATCTAAGGTAAAAGTTGATTGCCATGCATACATCCTTTGCTAAGGACATGTTTAGTGCATCTTGTCATTCCTCACATTTTATGGGCTCTTTCATGAAAATCAAATGAATTTGATGCTTGTATGGTACCACTATTCCTTCTATGCTTGACTTGACCTAGTGGTAGCATATGACATGTTTGTGGACTTGTGAACCTAGTGTTTGATCAAGAAAATGAACTAAAAGTGTTTAACTCAACATGGTCAAGATAACCCATGAAATGAGGTGTGAAGAAGCTTGTCCTTGGATCAAACCGAGTTAAATATATTTGGCAAGTGTTCTAGATTGAACCAAATTTGGGAAAATGATCCTCACCCCATTGATTGACATTGATAATCTTAACTTATCCAAAATTGAACCTTTGTGGTCATTGATGACAAAGGGGGGAGAAGTAATGCACAAAGATAGTGAAAAGATGACGAAGGGGGAGAACTTTGACATAGGGGGAGAAATATGAAAGTAAGGGGATCAATTAAAAATTGAGCACATAAGTAGGGGGAGAAAGCTCATAAACTTGATTGATGCATTTGAATGTGTATTTCATATGTTTGCTTGCATGGCACAAGTTTTAAACAAAAATTCCATGCTTGTGTGGTGTATGCTAGTTGTAGGTTTGAATGATGAAATGAAAATCTAGCATGCATAGGGTGATAGTTAGATATGCCTTGCTTTGTTTCCACAAGTGGTACTAGAGCCTTGCATATAATGTTGATCTCATGAGGTATCTAGTTTCTTGTCCTTGCAAGTGGTATCTAACTAACAATGGTGCTAAGGATGGTATATTTGGTGCACTCTAATTGGTATCATGCTTAAAAGGTCCATCTCTTATACCTTAGAATCATTTGGTAGACGTTACTCTCCTTGTAGCGGTGACTGGCTGGGCGAGGCCTAGGAGGAGAAGTTGGGCTAGCACCGCCACCCTGATCGGTGACACTGCCACCCCTAGGGCGGTGCCCACCTAGACTTGCCCGAGAAGAGAAGCGTGGAGGGCGGTCACCGCCGTGCCCAGTGTTCACCGCCTAGCCACCATCATAGGTAGGGGGGTGCCACTGCCTCTCTTATCTAGAGAGAGGGGGAAACTGGTACGGGCACCGCCATGGTCACCGCCACCCCTAGGGCGGTGCACCGCCGTTTTTATCTAGAGACTAGGTTTTCGGGGGACTGGTTGGGTGGTCACCGCTACCCCTGGGGCGGTGCTACTGCCACCCTGTTCGGTGCCCCAATGGCTGATGACCGTTGGAGGGGCACCACCACCCCATGTCTGGTGCCACACCAACATGTTCGGTGCCCTCGCAAAATCTGCTCCAAAGGAGTAATGGCTCTATTTGCTTGTGGGCTTATAAATAGAGGTGGTGACCGGCCTTGGCCACTCTCTTGGCACTTCCCACACCTGCATACACCCTTTGGGAGCTGAGCACAACACTCCACTCACTTGCACACTTGATTTTATCATCTTGAGTGAGATTGGAGAGCCTCTAGTGCATTGCTTAGTGTTCTAGCATCTTGTGGCACTAGTTGGGCGATTTGGGCTGGTGGAGATCTTGTTACTCTTGGTATTTGCTGACACTTAGACGCCCTGATGATTGGTGGATCATCGAGCAGAGGAAGGTGATTGTCTTTGGCTCCGATCATTGTGATTGTGAGGGGTTCTTATGCCTTCTCCGGCAGAGCGCCAAAGGCAACTCTAGTGGATTGCGCATGGCTTGTGGATCCTCATCTTGTGTTGGTTGTGCGGCACCCGATTGTGGGTTAGGCGTGTGATGCCTATTAGTGTGTGAACCTCCAAGTGAGTGAATCTCCATAACGGGGGCTATTTTGCTGGCAAGTAAGTGAACCTTGGAGGAAAAATCATTGTGTCATCATTGTCTCCTGGATTTCTTGTGATTGATTGTATATCTCTTGCCACGGCGGTATACCTCACTATCTCTCTTGTGCATTTACATTCCTAGTGTAGTAAGCTCTTTAGTGTAGTTAGTCTTGAGAGCTAGCTTGTGTTTTGTTAGTGGTTAGTGAGGCTCTTTAGTTAATCTTTGAGAGCTCACCAACTTAGTGGTAGTGACCTAATCTTGTGTGCGACATAGAGACTATAGCAACTAGAATTGTGGTTAGTTGTCTAGCGCAACACACGCTTCGCCATTTATTTGTCTAACCATTTGACCTAAGTGTTGTTGTAGAAATTTTTATAGGCTATTCACCTCCCCTCTAGCCATTAGGACCTTTCAATCTCATGACATCAATCATTTCTTTACAGCAAGGAGATGCAAGGGGGCTTGGACTGCTAAATGCAGCCTACATCACTCTGATTCTGAAGAAGGTTGATGCAATGACGGCAAAAGACTTTCGCCCCATCAGCTTAGTGCATAGCTTCGCTAAACTAATAACCAAGATTCTAGCAAATCAATTGGCACCCTTCTTGGACTCCTTGGTATCTACGAATCAAAGTGCATTTATACGAAGAAGATGCATACATGACAATTTTATCCTAGTGCAGCAAACAGTTAAAGTGCTACATCAACAAAAGGTGCCTAGCCTCTGTATCAAACTTGATATCTCAAAAGCGTTTGACTCGGTGTCATGCTCGTTTCTCCTGGAAGTGCTGCAGGATTTGGGCTTTGGCTTGCCATGGTGCAACTTGGTCTCTAATCTGTTATCAACTTCTTCAACCCGTATTTTAGTGAATGGTGAACCGGGAGAAATCTTGCAGAATCAGCGAGGGCTGCGTCAAGGGACCCCTTATCCCCCATGCTCTTTATTTTGGTGAGGATGTGCTTAATAGCTTGTTTGCAAAGGCAGGGAATGAGGGCTGCTGCAACCTTTATCTCCACGCATGGCTGGACAAAGAGAATCTTTATATGCTGATGATGTTACTTTGTTTATAAAACTAATTGAAGAGGAGCTGCAGATCACTAGAGACATTCTCAGGGTGTTTGGTGAGGCTTCCAGGCTACAAACCAACATTCAGAAAAGCAATATTATACCTATCAGCTGTGCAGAGGATTCTTTAACAACAATTCAAGATATTTTACCATGTACAATCTCGGAGTTTCCGTGTAAATATTTGGGCCTGCCTTTGTCAAATGAGAAGCTCTGGAAAAGGAACCTTATGCCATGGATTGAGAAAATCGCTGACAAGCTCCCATGCTGGAAGGCAGCTCTCATGAACAGGGCGGGACGTGACACCTTAGTTCAGGCTGTTCTCTCAGCAATGCCGGTTCACTTGTTAATTGCCATCAACGTTCCGAAGTGGTCCATCAAGGCGGTGGACAAAAATAGAAGAGGTTTCTTATGGCAGGGAAAGGAAAAAGCTAATGGAGGTTGCTGTCTAGTGGCTTGGGAGAATGTTTTGAGACCGTTAGATCTTTAGGGCAAGGGATATGAATAATACCAGTGCAGGGAGTAGGAGCCTGCATACTACTAACCAAACAAGTTGCAAATATATAAAGTTAGATGACATAAGCAGGTTACTGAAAAAATTTGCTCACTGTGATTAGAAAGTAGGCACACCCCCACGTACCAAAATGTAACTTGGCCACACTTATAGAAGATACTATGGCTATCACAACCCTCTGGAACATATGATTTAGGGTATAGTAAGAGTTTACACATTGTGCGAAATGTGATTCACTCCAGAAGAAAGCGTGATTCCATTTCAGAATGCTTGTGCCAAATAATTGCTCACGGAAGTAGTAGCAAGACACCGTTGTAAAGAAAGGAATTAAAGGAGGAAGCATACAGTTTTGGACAATTATTTGACAAACAAATTCTGAAGGACATAGGACGACAAGATAATGGGTTTCATACTCGATGCAGAGCACGGACTCACCTGGCAGAATTATTTCGGCATGTTTCAAATATCCAAGAAGCATTCTGGCCTGAATAATAATCATCAGGAAATCGAACAGAAAATCCCTTCCTTACATATTCTATGATATCTGTATAATTGGCATTCTCTAAATCTTTGTATGTGATAGTACGCGAGTTACCAAAGGGGGTCATGGCCAAGTATCCACAAGAAGGTCCAAGAGAGCTGACTATACAATAGCCAGAAACCATGACATAAACAAAGGAATTGTTCGCAGTCAGGCAATTGACGGGCTTGTACCAGCTACTATTTGTTATTGACTTTGAACAATTAATGAAGCATGCCCAACTATCGGCAGTGCCTAAATCAGAATGGTAATGCAAACCACTACTCCAGTAAGATCCCTCAGAAGTGTAATATGGAAACTGATCCCAGCGAGGAAGAGGGCAGCTGCTGTGCATATCCAAGTTGGCATCCACAACCCGGAACGAGTGATCGGTATAGTTGATGCTGGTGACAAAATATGTCCCCGTGTTGATGCGAATTCTGGCTTTGCCGTGGCTACAGACCAGCTCGTATGCTGTTACACCGCACTCAGGTGGATCGCCTGGCCAACGGAAAGGGAAGGATATGTTGTGAAGATCACCACAGGAGAAAGGAGGACACTGACCTTGGCCCCCAGCATCTGTAGCACGAACTGCAGTCACAGAAATAAAGACAAGTAAAGCTTGCCAGATAGCAGAAGGATAAAGAAATGCTGCACACGAGTTTGCCATGAGAGATTTTAGATGCAGGAATGCTAGCTAGGATGTTAATTGGTTATGAACAGGCTGAGAAGGACGCTTAGTTATTTGATTGAGAACAACAGGCCTGACATGACTGGGATGCGTTTTTGACTTGGACCAGATACTCTCCAAGTCAAATAACATGCATTACCGCACTTTTTGACTTGTGGTCTTCTTTCCACAAGAAAAGAGTGGGCTGTATTGACTTTGCGTTTACTTGAGCACAGCAGGAAGTTTCATGGAAACTTGGAATTTCTCCTCACCACACAATTGCAATTAGGAATTTAACTACACAGACTTGTTTAAAAAACTTCCTCGTCTTCCTCTTTTTCTCAGTTGCTATTAGTATGGAAGCTTGAGTGGATTTCTTATCATAGTTCTGCTGCTGTGTCCGCCATCTCTGTGCTGTGCAGCAAACATGGTCCAGAGATCAGGTACCCTTTCATCTTTAAATCGAGCAATCCCTCGGAGTACCATTCTGGCGCAACATTAGTTGGATCATATCTAGGAAGATATCTGATAGTAATAGGATCATATCTAGGAAGATTTTATACTAAATAGTAAATACACTGCATCAAGGGGATATTATTTTCACATGCATCCTCCTACAACATTCCTGTAAAAAAACTATATATCGATCGGAGTACAAAAATGGATGGGACAATGGCTTACCATATCGATGACCATCCATCTTATCCATATCGAGAACGACAATAATGTCGATGACCAGACGATGATGACAATTTTCTGATATAGAGAAAATCTAAATGGTAAAGAATCTGACACGCCAAATAGCCAACTAATGTTTCACGAAGCCATCCATCTTTTTTGAATATGACATGCCAGAGCATGACGCTAGCATGCTCTGGCAACGACCCCATCCTGGTTCGCCCACCAGCTGTTATCCAGCACAAAGTAATTTGCAGCATAAACTGCAGTCACAGAAATAAAGTCAAGAAAAGTTTTCCAGGTAGCAGAAGGAAGAAGAAATCCACGTGAGTTCGCCATGAGAGATTTCGAGATGAAGGAATGCTATCTAGGAGTGTTGATAATGGGCAAGCCGAGGACGCATTAGTTAGTTATTTAAGCACAGCAGGCCCGGCATGATTTGAGATGCCTTTTGACTTGGACAAAACTTCTTTCTTTCCAACTCTTCAACAAAGACAGGACTGATGAGCAGCGTTGACTCTAAGTTTACTTGAGCACAGCAGGAAGTTAGGCCATCTGCCCATCTCTTATTTGCTTCCACCTCCTCAACCTCTTCTTCCTTCTCTCAGTTACTAATGATACACAAGCATGAATGGAATTCTTATCATAGCTCTGCATTTGCTGCTGTGTCTTCTTAAAGATGGAGCATACAAGGCCACGGCGTGGGATGATGCCAACTTCTTCAGCAACTGCCCGCCATCTCGGTGCAGCCAACATGGTCCGGAGATCAGGTACCCTTTCCGTCTGGAATCCATCAATACCTCGTCACTCTGCGGAGCACCAGGCATGAAAGCTAGGACTAGGATGCTACGGCGACAACACCATTCTGGTTCTCCCAGCAGCTGTTATATCATACAAAGTGACCGCCATAGATTACAGGCGTAGTACCCTAACGCTCGCCCCGCGTGTGGACTACTCATCTCCTTCCTGCAAGCAGAAGCTCATGTCCATGTCCCTACCTCGCAGCAATACCAAGAGAGAATTCCTTATTTGACACTGGAAAAATGAGTTGTTCCTTTCTTGGCCTTGAAATTTTCTTCGTTCCCTATTTGACACTCACTTTAACTTTCATCCCTAATTTGACACTACCGTCAAATCTGTTAGCTAATGGTATTAACTGGCTGTTAAAAAGACGGTTTTGTCCCTAGAAAAAAAAGCGGCGAAGCAAATTTGAGAGGAAAAAAAAACCTACGCCCGCCTCTAATGCATGCGCCCAGCTGCAAAAAAAAACCAGTCAGCCAGCGATGCATGCATGCAACAGCGCCTCTGCATGCATCTAGGGGCAAAAACGTCTTTTTAACAGCCAGTTAACACCGTTAGCTAACGGATTTGACGGTAGTCTCAAATTAGGGATGAAAGTTGAAGTGAATGTTAAATAGGAAACGAAGAAAATTTCAGGGTTAAGAAAGGAACGACTCATTTTCCCAGTGTCAAATAAGGAACCCTGCTCATCACTATGCGATCTTGGATATGCAACGATAGTAAGCTGCTCAAGAGAGTTCACACCAAGTAATCTTGCTGCTAATTACATCTTCGGCCCAATTTCGTGCCTTAGCAGCACGTCCCACTTCTCCTATCTGGTGGATGGTTATGCATCGATGTCTATGCTTCCATTAGATTGCAAGGTTGTGTCTGATAGCTACTTTCTGATGGCCACTCCCACTGCCCGTTCAGCATTCAAGGAGCAAGCAGAAACAATACTGGATTTCTCAGGGACAACAACAATAGATTGGTATCTTAATGGAGGTGTTGATGCCACCATCGCATACAACTGCACACAGTGTGGACGACGTGGGGGACGTTGTGGGTTCAGCCCAGACAGGAATCAAACCTTCTGCATCAATAACGGTATTCTGTCTAAATGGGCAAATCCACACAGCCGCATGTTTCTATCATATATCTTATATTACAAGTCCTTACAATATTCATTTCTGTCTACAGTCTACTCAGATACTACTATGTGATTCTTTGAAATTTCATAGATAATTGCCAGCTTATTTTGCAAAGTAGTACTGCAGCTCATTTTGTTGGGAAGCCTTACCAAGCAAAGTAAGGCCAACCAATCTAATCATAATCACAAAAGAGAAAAATTATAAACATCCACTTGATTAGCAGTAGTCAGACCCATTTTTTGAAGCATTTGAACAGCCCAGACCTACAGCACATATAGAAAGTTGGGCACTACTGCCAAATACCCAGAAAATGATGCTTCAACTAATTAAGGGAAAAAGTAGACAAGTTAGGAACTAAATTGGTACAGCCGAAGGTAAAATAAATACAGAACACTGTTGTTAAGAATTCTACGTGATAATTATGACAATGCAGTTTCAAATACAGATGACCACTTGATAGAGGATAATGACAAAAAAAAAAAAAATTGAACTGAAGGATAATGGCAATTCACATGATCACTTTTAAGAAATTGGTGACCAAAACTTTTACATGCAAAATTTACTGCACTACAACTGAGCATTTTCGTACGGATCACAAAATGCATAACTAAGACAAATTAAAAGCAAAGCAACTCCTACAATGTAACATATTTACTTTTGACATTACCAGATAAATGAAATTTATTTAGGCTGGGACTCAGAACACAAGTTACTTGGCAACTGAGCTAGGATTATTTGGGTGTATCAGCTTTTCTTTACCATCTTGACATTGAGATTATTAAGGTTGCATCATCCTAGGTCCTAGCAAGAAACCCTTCTTTGTCCGTATGCTATAATAGCATTAGTAGAGCCTGCAACCAAAGTAGCAGCAAAAGTCAATTATGTGTGCTCCTGAAAAAGGGAAATAAATTTGTAGGTAATTTGTCGGAAGAAAGAAAATAGACAAAAACAATTAAGAAGTGAAAACCGGAAACAAATTGATGTACAATACTGCTGAAAGTGAATACAAAGAGAGTACAAAGTGGTATGCTTGCAAGGTAAGAACCACCTATTAGAGCAGAAAGAGAACACTGCATAAAGCGAATGAACAAACACTAATGTGGAATTGGTTGTCAGCAGAAAACCATGTAGTTCTGAGAGGTTGGGACTCAGAGACTGCAGCGTACAGTTGACTGGGGCAAAATGACACTAGAGAGTAGGGACTATAGCCTGGTTAATCACCAGAGATGGCACCACAAACTTGCTTCTGATATTTGCATTTTCTCTTAAGGAACCTTGCTTATGATCAAACATATTTAAAAATATGTAAGGAACATTACTGTTTTACATTATATTCATGCAAATACAGTATATACATTCTTAAAAAAAGTAGAACTTTTATTGTACACGCTGGGGGAGGGGTCACATCATGCGGCTAATTTTACTAAAATATTGAATCTTACCTTTTGAAGGGCGGGCCTGGTGCAAGCGGTAGAGTCTTACCACCTGTGACCGGAAGGTCCCGGGTTCGAGTTGCGGTCTCCTCGCATTGCACAGGCAAGGGTAAGGCTTGCCACTGACACCCTTCCCCAGACCCCGCACAGAGCGGGAGCTCTCTGCACTGGGTACGCCCTTTTTTTTATTGAAACTTACCTTTTCTTTCTCAACAAATCACCATTTCATACTAAACCATCAATAGAGACTTATTTTCTTCTTTGGTTTTTGCAGGTTCACACATCAAAGTAATCGCAGGTACTGCTGCTAATCAAACATTCCTTGTATCCAAAATGAAAAAGGATATCAATTACACACAAATTCTTATCTTTCTCGACTATGGCTCTTAACATTATCTCATACCCATTAACAACACCAAGTGGTGCCTTCATATCCAGACAGTATATTGATTTCCTGTTCTCTTCTTGACAAATACATCATCGGTGGCCACAATAGTGGTTCTTTTGTTGATGGTGGCCACTGGACTCTATCTTTCACTTAAGACAAGATATAATGAGGAGATACACTTGAACGTCGAAATGTTTCTCAAGACATATGGAACCTCAAAACCCACAAGCTATAGTTTCTCTGAAGTTAAGAAGATTGCAAGGCGATTTAAGGAAAAAATAGGTCAGGGTGGATTTGGGAGTGTATACAAAGGCGAGCTACCAAATGGAGTGCCTGTGGCAGTCAAAATGTTAGAGAACTCTACAGGAGAGGGAGAAGAATTCATCAATGAAGTTGCAACCATAGGACTAATCCACCATGCAAATATTGTGCGTCTCCTGGGTTTTTGCTCTGAAGGAACAAGGCGTGCCCTTATTTATGAATACATGCCTAATGAGTCACTGGAAAAATATATATTCTCACGTGATTCTAGTATTTCCCAGGAACTACTAGTGCCAAAGAAAATGGTAGATATTGCTTTAGGTATTGCCCGAGGAATGGAATACCTACATCAAGGATGCAATAAACGCATCCTCCACTTTGACATCAAGCCTCACAACATCTTGCTAGACTTCAACTTCAATCCAAAGATCTCAGACTTTGGCCTAGCAAAACTGTGTGCAAGAGATCAAAGCATCGTTACCTTGACAGCAGCAAGAGGCACTATGGGATATATTGCACCAGAGTTATACTCTCGGAATTTTGGTGGGGTATCCTGCAAGTCGGATGTTTACAGTTTTGGCATGCTGGTGTTAGAAATGGTAAGTGGAAGGAGGAACTCAGACCCAAGTGTTGATAGCCAAAATGAAGTTTACCTCCCAGAGTGGATCTTCGAGAGAGTAATCACTGGGCAGGACTTGGTACTTTCTAGGGAAATGACTGGAGGAGAGAAAGAAAGGGTGAGACAGCTGGCCATGGTGGCCCTATGGTGCATTCAATGGAACCCAAGAAATCGACCCTCGATGATAAAAGTGGTGAACATGTTAACAGGAAGGCTGGAGAATCTGCAGATGCCCCCGAAGCCTTTCGTCTAATCTGAATTCTGAAAGTCATTCAGTGTCATAAAAATTATATTGGAGAATACATCGTCATTATGTACTGAATATTCGAGACATAAACTTTGCCCCTGCTCTGTTGCAGAGTAGTCCATAGTGCCTGCATGAAAATGTATTTGGATCTTTCCACCGTAACTGTATCTGATGCACTAATAGTATCTTGTCGGCTTGTCGCCATGTAGTGCTACTTATCTGGGATGGATCAGATTTAAAGTGGAATTGGCTTGTCTGTGATAGTTTAAAGAGTCCATTATTTAGTTCCATCCTTTTCTGCCCCTTTCTGTAGTATATGTTCTTTTTACAACTCAATGAGGCAAAACATCAAAATAAGTTGAGATAAAAATTCAAAATAAGCTGGACAAAAATTCCGAATGATCTACGATGCTAATGGATGGGTCATGGGGTGGGGCATGGGTCTTAGCAAATCTTACCTTAGCCATTGCCATGTTGGATTCTGGATCTCGAATCACTAAAATGCCGCTTGCCTTCCGTTGCAGGAGCAAAGAGACCGGTGAGCGAGCCAGGGCATCACGGTGTAGAATGGCATGGAGGCGACAAAGGCGCAACCGCGCAAGAAATACATGAAATTTCCTATTGAAAGCTCGGTGAGCTTCAGCATTGGTTGACTGCATGAGATCGCTGCTCAAAGGCGGCCGCTGCGGCGCTGCCTGAGCACCAGTCGGTGGGAAGAAGATGGGGTATTGGGGGCTCCCGTTCTACCAAAGTGGATTGGGCTTGGCTGCTTGGGCTAAAAATGAGCCAGCCCAGTAGCAAAGAAAGATCCAGTCCATGCAGAGCACATCAAAGATTGCAGGTGTACCGGAAATGAAGAATTCCAACTAATTAGAAAATCTGACAACGGATTTGCATTTGCCTACCAAATAATCTGAGTTGTATTTTCTAGGTTTGTCACATAGATAAACTAGATAGAAAAATTATAGATAAAAATTAACAGCAGTGCCATCAATAATTAATTAACAGTCTTATTGTTGGTGGACTGAAATTTTGCATTGTCACCATTCTGTCGATGTGATTCCTCGTAACAATCAGTCGTATTTATTTAGTGGTACGGTTCTTCCAATTACAAGTGGAATGAAGACTTTTGCCCAGGTAATCACGGTATTTTTTTTCATTAGACAAACAAGTCGAAACAATGTTCGTTTCACTGAAAAAACAAGCCAAAACACTGTTCCGGCTGATTTGTTGTGAGAGAAAAATACTGTTCCGGCAGAAAAAACAAGCTAAAAAGTACGGATTATAAGAGAAGCGAACAGGGCCTTCGGAAAACTTATAACATAGTAATGGAGTTTCTGGCTTCTCACAATGAAGGTCGAAGCGAAACGGCACCAGCCTTGTGGACTCGACTCCTACCTCAACCATATTAAAAGCAAACTCTCCTTAAAAGCAATAGCAAACTCTCCTTAAAAGCAATCTCTAGTCCTCTACGAAGCACACCAATCCACCGCCATGGAAACAAAGTATAGAGTAACTAACATCTCAAAAGGGACCACAGCTAACTGTCCCAACACCGTTAGGATCCAATCCACCTGTTTGATTCCTTCTCCTTGAGCGCCACCTTCAACTGTCACCTTCTCCCACCAGCTTGTTCTCCACCATCTTGTTTCTAGTTTTCCACTAACGCCCATAAAACTCCTGCCCAGCAGAACAAGCAAGTGCCCGGACTGACAGACTAAGTTGCAGATGGTTTAAGTGTCAGAACATAACATGCATGAATAGGAAAATGAAGTAACTCTGGATGACCATTTAAGATCAAATCATGTACCCTTTTAGCAACATTGCTTCTATTTATTTATATTATATTTATGTGGATCTAGTTGGTACAAGGACGACAATTTACTGGCTCAGTCCAACATTGATCGAAGTCAACCGCCAAAAGATACATTTAAGCTTTACTAGTGGCGGATGCAGAACAGGATTGAAGAGGAGGCTGGTCTCTTCTTCTTCCTCTCTCTGTCTCTCCATTTTTCTTCTTTCCTCCACCTCTTCTCCCTCACCCTCCCCATATTTCCATTGATGCACCAGCTGTAGGGGGGGCTGGAGCCCCCCCAGCCCCCCCTTAGATCCGCCCCTGAGCTTTACCATAAAAATCAAATATGGTTTGGACACCTCTCCGGTCTCCATGGCATGGATGAAGTTGCCATGTTCAGAATTCAACCATGCACCAACAGTGCTCCTACACTGTGTTGCTGGTTCATAGTGCATTTTCCAGTATCCATCCCAACCTCAGGCAAATACATTTGCAGTATTAGCAGTCTAGAAACGCATGTCTTGGCATCTTGATTTCAGGAAAATTATTATATCCCAGCATAATTATAACAGTTGCCAACCTCCATCTTAAGTTATACATGTTTCTCACAAACATTTACAGGAATCAGAAAACTGTGTACCATAAAACTGATTGGACATCATGAAAATGCTTAACACACATAACAGCCTATTTCAGGTTTCACAAGCTAACGCTCTGCTCACCTTATCTACTACCCGAGCACAGATATGTAAATAATTCAATCATCTTCCTCCTCGATTGCATTGAGCTCTGAGGAGAAATGGCAAGAACCTGTATCGACCATATGGTCATCACAGAAGAATGGCCTAGAAGGCATTTGCAGGCCATCAGTGCCACACTCAAGCATCTCTATAACCTCACTCGATCTTGTGGCTTCATCTGAATGCACCATAGCCCAACAATGCACAGCTTCCTCTCCAACTCATGCATGTCCACCGCAACAGATATCTCACCAACTTCTTATGCGGCTAGACGGTCATAAACCCAAGCAGGGTAGTATGCTCGACTTGAGTTGGCTGCATTTTGATCTGCGTTCCTTCGCCCTCCCGCCATCTCTAACAGTAGCATACCAAAGCTATAAACATCAGATTTGCTTGATATGATGCCAAAGCTACGAGATACCATTTCAGGAGCTATGTACCCAATAGTTCCCCGCATGGCGCTCGCTGGCACAAAGCTATGGTCCCTCGGGTATAACTTGGCGAGACCAAAGTCTGCAACTTTTGGGACAAAATTGCTATCAAGAAGGATGTTATGTGGTTTGATGTCAAAGTGAAGGATCTGCATATCGCAACCCAGATGCAAGTAGTTGATTCCCCTTGCAATGCCCAAAGCAATCTCATTGAGCTTATCCCAAGAGAAACTTCTCTTGGCCGAGAATATATACCTGTCAAGAGAACCATGGGACATGTATTCATACAACAGTGCCCTCCTCATTTCCTCTGCACAGAAGCCCACAAGACGAACAACGTTGATGTGGTGGATCCTGCCGATGGTGGAGACCTCACTGATGAACTCATCCCCATTGCAGTTGGAGTTGCCTAGTATCTTGACGACTACTTCCACATTGCCTGGGAGTAGCACGCCCTTGTATACAGAGCCGTATCCACCTTGACCCAGCTTGTCTCTAAAATGGCTAGTGATCGCAGTAATGTCTGTGTAGGCAAACCTAACTGGACCAATCATTTGTTGCATCTGGAGGAACTTCTCGACTGCATGGATCGTTATCCTTGTTTTCCAGTACTTGTGGGCAAGGAATACGAGTGTAAATATATAAAGTTAGACAACATTATAAGTAGGTTAATGAAAATTGTAGCCCGTGATGATTAGAAAGAAGTATCCACGTACCAAAATGTAACTTGGCCATGCTTATAGCTGATACTATGGCTATCACAATCATCTCCTTGTCAAAGACATTTGGGGTATGGTAATAGTCTACACATTGTGTGAAATGTGATTCAATCCAGAAGAAAGCACGAGTCCATTTTAAGATGCTTGTGCCAGATAATTGCTCATGGAAGTAGCTGCATGACACCATTGTAAAGAAAGGAATCAGAAAAGGAAGCATACAGTTTTGGATAATTATTTGATAAACCAAATCCCAATGGAAATGGGACTACATGATAATCGGTTTCATATTTTATGCAGAGAAGACTCACCTGGTTGAATTTTTCAGGCACATTTTAAAAATCCAAGAAGCATTGTGGGAAGAATCTACAAAAGGTGAATCCCTTGGAAAGCTAACAGAAAATCCCTTCTTTACCAATTTTATGATATCTGTATCACTGGCATTCATAAGCTCTGGGTATGCATTATCCCGGCTACCAAAGGGGATCATGGCCAAATACCCACAAGAGGGATCAAGAAACTTTACATCGCAAGTCTCAAATGAGACATAAACAAACGAATTGTTTGCAGTCAGGCAAGTAACAGGCTTGTACCATCTAATATCTGTTACTGCTTGCGAACAATTTATGAAGCATGCCCAAAGATAGGCTGCAGTGACCAAATTGTAGTAACGAGAATCACTTCCATACTTATATCCCACATATTCCCCATGTGGGTAAGGAAGCTGATCCCAACGAGGAAGAGGGCAATTACTGTGCACATCCAAGCTGGCATCTACTGTTAGAGTGGGAAGATCAGATTGGGGGCAAAGGCCACACTGGGCAACAGCCAGGGGCGCCATTATATATAAGCCAATGGGCTGAATTACAGGAGGTGATAGACACCAATAATAGGTAACTATACAAGCCTACCATACAACTATACAAGCCTACCATACATGTATAACAATATTCCAACAGCCCCCTGCAGTATCAACCGGGAGAGGATCGGACGTTGAGGCTGGATCGGAAGGACCGGAAGACAGCAGTAGGCAGGCCTTTTGTGAAGATGTCCGCATATTGAAGTGTTGTTGGAACATGTAGAACATGAACTTCCCCGAGAGCAACACGATCACGCACAAAGCGCAAATCAATTTCCACATGCTTGGTGCGCTGATGTTGAACCGGGTTGGTGGAGAGGTATACAACACTAATGTTGTCGCAGTAAACCACCGTAGCCTTAGACAACGGGCGATGAAGTTCAGCAAGAAGTTGGCGGAGCCAACATGCTTCGGCCACAGCATTAGCAACGCCGCGATATTCAGCTTCAGCGCTCGAACGAGAGACTGTCTGTTGCCGTTTGGAAGACCAGGACACCAGATTATCACCAATAAAGGCACAGAAGCCGGAGGTAGAGCGCCTAGTATCGGGGCAGCCCGCCCAGTCCGCATCGGAGTAAAGGAGCAGATCATGAGAGGAGCTGCAAGTGATCTGAAGACCATACTTGATAGTGCCTTTGATGTAGCGAAGAATGCGCTTCAGAAGAGAGAAGTGTTCCTCCCTCGGATCATGCATATGTAGGCAGATCTGTTGGACGGCGTGCGCGATGTCAGGCCGTGTAAGAGTAAGGTACTGAAGACCACCAGCTAGACTGCGATAGAGGGAGGCGTCGGCGACTGGAGGACCCGCCTCTGCAGGTAGCTTGGGGCTCACTTCAATGGGAGTGGCACAGGGGTTGCAGTGCTGCATCTTGGCACGAGTAAGAAGCTCCAAGGCATACTTATCTTGAGTCAACAGCAAACCAGAGGTATTCTGGGATGCAGTGACGCCAAGAAAATATTGAAGTTCACCAAGATCGGACATAGCAAATTCCTGTTGAAGGGAGGCAATGATCTGCTGAAGCAGGGCCGAGGAGGAGGCCGTCAGAATAATGTCGTCCACATACAGTAGCAAGTACGCAATGTCATTGCCAGACTTGCGGATGAACAAGGAGGTGTCACATCTGGAACTGCAAAATCCAGTAGAGAGGATGAAAGACTGGAAGCGAGTATACCAAGCGCGTGGGGCTTGTTTAAGTCCATACAGTGACTTGTTCAACTTGCAAACATGTTGTGGAAAGGTTGGATCAATGAACCCGGATGGCTGCTGAGAGTAAACTGTCTCTTCCAGAGTACCATTTAAGAAGGCATTCTTCACATCCAGTTGATGAATAGACCAGTTGCTACTGATTGCCAGAGAAAGAACAGTGCGAATCGTAGCAGGTTTCACCACCGGACTAAAAGTCTCCTCAAAATCGACACCTGGTTGCTGAGAGAAACCACGAAGCACCCAACGGGCTTTATAACGATCCAGTGACCCATCAGACTTAAGCTTTTGGCGATAAATCCACTTCCCAGTAACAATGTTGGCATTGGGTGGGGCAGGCACTAAATCCCAAGTCCTGTTAGCCGTGAGAGCATTGAACTCTTCAACCATGGCATTCTTCCAATTAGGATCAGCAAGAGCTTGCTTGTAGGATGTTGGAATGGGCGATGGTCCGGCAACCTGAAAAGTGGCTGGAGTGCGGAACCCACTCTTGGCCCGAGTAACCATTGGATGGTCATTGGAGATAGGTGGAATGGGTACTTTCTGAGCTTCTGAAGACCGCTGAGAGACTGGAATCGGCGCAGGAGCAAATGCACGAGAGGCCTGCTGAGGAGCAGGTGGTGCTGGCGCGGGATCGCGCTGTTCGATGGACAGTTCCACAGGACGTGGACGGCGAGTATAGACAGCTGTGATAGGCGGCCTGGTGCTGTAGTCGGTGGGCACCGATGAAGAGGTGCCCTCACCAGCAGCGCCGTGCGTGGAGGGGCCACACGTGGCGTGCGACATTGACGTTGAACCGGGCACGCCTTGCATCGGGGCTGGCCCGGTCAGCGACGCCGGCACTCTTGCAGCAGATTGCGACGAGGATGGCGCCGGTTCGGTCGCATCAGGCGACGGGGCAGGCCCGTGCGCCGTGGATCCAGGTGTGCCAGGCGGTCCTCCTGCCGGCAGTGAGCCGAGCACGCCGGGCAGAGGTGCAGGAGCACCAGGGAGCACCGTATCATCATCTGCAAAGTCATCCAAAAACGAATACGAAGAGGCAAGGGTGCTAGTACGAGCGGCATAAGGAAATGTGAGCTCGTCGAACACGACATGCCGAGATGTGATAATTTTGTTAGACTTGAGATCAAGACAACGGTAGCCCTTGTGATCGGAGGGGTAGCCGAGAAAGATGCACTCGGTGGATCGTGGCGCAAGTTTGTGAGGAGTGGTAGCCGATAGGTTGGGATAGCAGCGACATCCAAAAGCCCGGAGGTGGGAATAGGACGGCTTGGAGCCGAACAAAGCCTGGTGTGGAGTGAGATTTTTGAGGACTTTTGTGGGGTGGAGGTTAAAGAGGTGGGTGGCTGTATGTAAGGCATCGGCCCAGAAGGCGGGAGGAAGACCGGCTTGAATCAACAATGTTCGAAGAATATTGTTGATTGAGCGGATGACACGCTCAGCTTTTCCATTTTGTGGTGAAGTGTGCGGGCAAGAGAGTCGGGACCGAATTCCCTGGGAAAGAAAAAATGAGCGAGCAGCTTGGTTATCAAATTCACGACCATTATCACATTGGACGAAACTGATACGACACTGAAAATGTGTTAACACGTAGGTGTGAAAATCGCGAATAGTGGAAAAAGTATCAGATTTCAGTTTCAAGGGAAATGTCCAGAGATAATGAGTGAAATCATCTAAACACGCCAAATAATATTTATTGCCAGACACACTGGAATCGGAGAAGTCCACAAATCACAATGAAGAATCTCAAAAGGGCGCTGAGTGCGCGTTAAAGATGTAGAAAACAGCAAACGAAAATGTTTTCCTAACTGACACTCATGACAAGGAGTGGCAGGTGTTTTATTTGGGGCGACAGAGATGGCGTTGGCTGACTTCAATTGAGAGAGAACGTTGGCGCTGGGATGGCCGAGGCGACGATGCCAAATGTCTTCTGCAAGAGCCAGCAACACTGCGCGAGTGGAGGTGGGTGGCGTGAAGAAAGGGTACAAATCGCCGGAGCTATTGCACCGATAGAGAAGCGCCTTAGTTTTGAGATCCTTCACAGACAAACCAAACGGGTCAAATTCCACAGACACAAGGTTGTCAATGGTAAACTTGCGCACGGAAATAAGATTTGTGACTAATTGAGGAGAAACTAAAACGTTGGATAAAGAAAATTGCCGGGTAGGAGAGGGAAAAGCAACACTGCCACGAGCGGTGATGGGAATGGAAGAGCCGTTGCCAACAAGAATATTTGTGGGTGTGTGGGAAGGAGAAGTGGAGGAGAGAATACCCTGATCGTTGGAGAGATGGGAGGACGCGCCGGAATCCATGAACCAGTCGGGTTGCTGCAGGGTCATGGAGTTCAGCGTGTTGATCAAGGCAGTGGGATCCCAGGTGTTCGTGGCGGACGTCGTTGCAGCTGCTGCAGGCGCGCCGGCAGTTGGGAATCCGGGAGGGGCGCCAACGAACATGGCCTGATGCGGAACGCCGGGACGTGGACCAAGCACGCCCTGGGTAGGCTGCATTGGCCACATCTGGAAGGTGCCGGTGTAGGGGTTCAGGAACGGACGGAAAACGCCGAAACCGCCGGAACCGCCGGGCGCGCCAGACCGGCCGGAGGATGGTGCGCTGTTGCGATTTTTGTTCTTGTACCTGTTCTTGTTGTTGTTCCGCGACGCAGAAGAGAACTGCTGGGGCGCCGAAGGGGAAGCGGGCGGCTGGGGCGCCGGCGGTTGAGGTGCCATTACCAGCGCCGTTTGTTCGCCAGGCTGCGGGGTCTTGAGATCCGCCTCCTCAAGTTCCAGCATGGAGCACGCAGTGCTGAACGTCGGCAGGGGATCCCGGGATTTGATGAGGGTCCCCATGTGATGAAGAGTCGGACTTAGGCCTCGAATGAGCGTGAGGACCAGAGTCGGCTCGTTGACGGGGAATCCGAGATCGGCGAGCCCGTCGGCGTACGATTTGAGGCGCTCGCTGTAGTCGGAGAAGGAGAGGTTGCCTTGCGCGAGATTGCGGAAGTCCGCTTCCAACGCAAGGGCCCGTGACGACTTGTTGTTCTGGAACTACGCCTCGATCGCCAGCCAGATGGTGCGGGCGTTTGCGCCGGGCGTCATCACCTTGTTCATCAGCTTCGGAGAGATGGACGAGTAGAGGAGGGATAGGACAGAGAAATCCGTCGTCGTCCACACCGGCGTGACCGGGTCAGGCACCGGCGTACCATCGATGTGGTGACCAGCGCCGAACTTGCCGAGGAGGGTGGTGAAAAGCTCACGCCAGGCACGATAATTGGGCGGGTGAAGTTCCAGGGTGATTGGGAGGTGAGTTTTGATATTGATGGTGGCGAGAGAGGCAGCAGGATTCGAAGGGGCAGCGGCAGGTAGGACCGCGGCGAGGGCTGCAGCAAGAGCCGCGGTGGGATCGGGCACGATCTCGTCGGCCATGGCAAAAGAGATGAGGGCGGGCCGCCGGGTGGGTGGACGCGTCGTGAGGGGAACACGCGCGGAGAGGGGTGGCGGCGCGAGGAAGAAGAGTCGCGGCCTGGGCGCGCGATCAGCGGAAGCAGAGGATCGGGTATGCGGCTGATACCATGTTAGAGTGGGAAGATCAGATTGGGGGCAAAGGCCACACTGGGCAACAGCCAGGGGCGCCATTATATATAAGCCAATGGGCTGAATTACAGGAGGTGATAGACACCAATAATAGGTAACTATACAAGCCTACCATACAACTATACAAGCCTACCATACATGTGTAACAATATTCCAACATCTACAACCCAGAAGGACCGATCGGTATAGTTGATGCTGGTCACAAAGTATGTCCCTGTGTTGATGCGAATTGTGGCCTTGCTGCTGCAGACTAGTTGGTAAGCTTGCACGCCACACTCAGTTGGGTCGCCTGGCCTACGGAAGGGGTAGGATATGTTGTGAAGATCACCACAGGACAAAGAAGGGCACTGACCTTGGCCCCCAGGATCTGCAGCAAGGACTGCAGCCACAGAAATAGAGACAAGTAAAACTTGCCAAGTAGCAGAAGGATGAAATGCACATGAGTTCGCCATGAGAGATTTCTGGATGCAGGAATGCTAGCTAGGGTGTTGGTTATGGACAGGCCAAGAAGGATGTGTAGTTATTATTTGAGAACAGCAGACCTGACTAGACTGAGGTGCATTGTTGACTTGGACCAAATATCTCCAAGTCAAACAACATCACCGCACTTCTGACTTGTGGTCTTCTTCCACAAGAAAGAGTGAGCTCTATTGACTTTGCGTCGACCTGAGCACAGCAGGAAGTTTCATGGAAACTCAGAATTTCTCCTCAGCCATACAGTTGAAATTAGTATAGTTACTACACAAACTTATTTCAAAAACTTGCACCAACTCCTCATCGTCTTCCTCTTTCTCTCAGTTACTACCTATACAGAAGCATGAGCGGAATTCTTGTCATAGCCCTGCTGCTGTGTCTTCTCATAGATGGAGTGTACAAGGCCACGGCTTGGGATGATGCCGACTTCTTCAGCTACTGTCCGCCATCTCGGTGCAGCGAACATGGTCCAGAGATCAGGTATCCTTTCCACCTTGAATCGAGCAATACCTCACCATTATGCGGAGTACCATGCATGAAGCTAGCATGCTCTGGCAACGACACCGTTCTGGTTCGCCCACCAGCTGTTATCCCGTACAAAGTGACCGCTATAGATTACAGGCATGCTACCCTGACGGTCGCCCCGCGTGTGGACGACTCTGCTCCCTCCTGCGGGCAGAAGCTAATGTCAGTAGCTCTACCTCGCAGCATTATGGAATGTAAGGACTCTGACCTTTGCTCACAGCTATGCAGTCTTCGATGTGCAACAATAGTGAGCTGCTTAAGAGAGTTCACACCAAGGAACCGTGTTGCTGACTACATCTTCGGCCCAATCTCGTGCCTTAGCAGCGCGTCCCATTTCTCCTATTTGGTCGATGGTTCTGCAGACCTGTTTGTGCTTTCATTAGATTGCAAGGTTGTGCCTGATAGTTTCTTTCTGATGAGCACTTATGGTCCAAGACTCAAGGAGCAGGCACAAACAATACTCAATTTCACTGAGACCACAATTGATTGGTGGTATTATGGAAGTGGTGATTACAATCCAAGTGGTGATATCAAACACAACTGCACAAAGTGTGAACAGGGTGGGGGACGCTGTGGGTTCAGCACACACAGGAACCAAACCTTCTGCATGAATGATGGTATTATCTCTAACTGCGCAACCGCAAACCATACAACCACATGGTCTAATCATACATTGTAAATCCTTAGTTCCTTACAGTATTCAATTACATCTACTCAGATGCTACTATGCGATTCTTTGAAGTTTCATAGATAATTGTCAGCTTATCTTGCAAAGGAGCACTGCAGATCATTTGGGTAGCAAGCCTCACCAAGAAAATTGAGGCCAACCAATCTGATCAAAATCAAAACCCCAGACCCAATTTTTACAAGCATTCAGCTTAACCCTTCGGTAGATGACTAGATATATAAAGGTGAACACTACTACCAGAAACACCCATAAAATAGTGCTTCAAATAATTAAGGGAAAATAGAGAGAAATTAGAAGTTAAGTTGGTAAAGGCGAATGCAAAATAAGTATAGAACACTATTGCTAAGAACCTTTGTGATGATTATGATAGTGAACATTTCAAATACATATAATGAGATAGAGGATAGCAGTTATTGGCATGTACCTTTAAATAATTGGCAATCAAAGTTTTGCATGCAAAAATTTATTGCACTACTGTTAAGTATTTTCATAAAAATCGCAAAATACATAACTGTGATGAAATAAAAGCAAAGCAACTCCTCCATTGCAACATATTTAGTTCAACAAGCCCACAAAGAAACTCCAAGAAATTCATGTTGCAAGGGTTTCTATTGAATATGGGCTAAGAGAAATTATGTTTTTTTTTTCATTTTGTTCTGTAACATATGGACTCCTTCACTTTTGGCATGACCAGATAAATGAAATTTATTTAGACTGGAACTCAGAAGACATGTTACTTGACAACTTAGCTAGAATTATTTGTGTCTATTAGTTTTGTATTACGTACCGACATGACATTGTCATTGTTAAGGTTACATCATCAGCTAGCGAGACACCTTCCTAGTACAAATGCTGGAGCAGCCCACTAGAGCCTGCAACCAAATAGCTGCAAATATCAATGATGCGTGCTCCTGAGGAAGGGGAATAAATTTGAATTGAGTAATTTCCCTAAAGAAAGCAAATAGACAAAATCACTTAAGAAATGAAAACGGGCAATGAGTTGATGTATAACACTTCTTCCCATCACCAATATAAGTTCCTCTAGGTTTGTCCTAAGTCAAAAAATTTGAATTCTGACTAGCAATATCTATAAAAATATGTTATTTTATATGAAAACAGTGGTTCTTATATAACTGTAGCTAGCTAGTCATGATTCGCCCCTCCTTTATTTTACTTCACGCTCTGCCGCTGATAGGAAAGTATCTTTTCATAATGAATCCAGTAATGTCAGTCTTGTGAAGTGAATCTATATAAAACATTACACATTGACAGTCAAAGTTTGACAAGATTGACTTAGAACAAACCTTGATGGACTTATATTTAGGATTTGAGGAAGTATGCGGATGAAGGTGAATACAAAAGGTATAGAAAGTGGTATGTCTGAATGATAAAAAAACACCTGTAAAGTGAGATATGAAGGGGGTCAGAGCAGGAGAAGAACAAACTCGTGAATGGCCTGCGTAAAGCAAATGAATAAAGAACCAATGTGGCAGGTAGTTTCGATGTGTTGGGACGTGAGACTGCAGCGGACATTTGGCTGGGGCAAAATGATGCACAGTAGTAGGGAATATGAACAGGTTAATCACCAATTCACTAGAGATAGAACTACTAACTTGTCCCTGATATTTGCATTTTGTCTGAAGAAATGTTGCATGTGATCAAATATGCTGAATAATATTAAAGGAGCATCACTCTTTTACATTTATATTCATGCAACTACAGTATAGCGATAGCCATTCCTAAAATGTAGAACTTTTATTGTATATGCTGGGGACTGGGGTCACATCAAGCAGATACATGTACAAAAATATTGAATCTTACCTTTTCTCTCTCAATAATTTCATCTTTTCGCACTACACCATCATAGGATTCTTATTTTCTTCTTTGGTACTTGCAGGTTCACGCGTCAAAGTAATTGCAGGTACTGCTGCTAATCAAACGTCGTTCCTCATATCCAAAATAAAGGGCTATTTATTACACACAAAATCTTATTTTTGCTCTAGTATGATTCTTGGTGTTATTACACCAAATGGTGTCTTTCTATCTAGACACAGTATAATGACTTCCTGTTCTCTGCTTGACAGCTACATCAGCAGCAGCTGCATTAGTGGTTCTTCTATCGATTGTGGCCACTGCACTCTATCTTTCACTTAAGAAAAGATATAATGAGGAGATACACTTGAAGGTCGAAATGTTTCTCAAGACTTACAGCACCTCAAAACCTACAAGGTACACTTTCACAGAACTTAAGAAGATAACAAGGCGATTTAAGGAAAAAGTAGGCCAGGGTGGATTTGGAAGTGTATACAGAGGTGAGCTACCAAATGGAGTGCCAGTGGCAGCTAAAATGCTAGAGAACTCTGCTGGGGAGGGAGAAGAATTCAACAATGAAGTTGCAACCATAGGACTAATCCACCATGCAAATATTGTGCGCCTCTCTGGGGTTTTTGCTCTGAAGGAACAAGGCGTGCCCTTATTTATGAATACATGCCTAATGAGTCACTGGAAAAATATATATTCTCACGTGATTCTAGTATTTCCCAGGAACTACTAGTGCCAAAGAAAATGGTAGATAATGCTTTAGGTATTGCCTGAGGAATGGAATACCTACATAAAGGATGCAATAAATGCATCCTCCACTTTGACATCAAGCCTCACAACATCTTGCTAGACTACAACTTCAATCCAAAGATCTCAGACTTTGGCCTAGCAAAACTATGTGCAAGAGATCAAAGCATCGTTACCTTGACAGCAGCAAGAGGCACTATGGGATATATTGCACCAGAGCTATACTCTCGGAATTTTGGTGGGGTATCCTACAAATCTGATGTTTACAGTTTTGGCATGCTGGTGTTAGAAATGATAAGTGGAAGGAGGAACTCAGACCCAAGTGTTGACGCCCAAAATGAGGTCTATCTCCCAGAGTGGATCTTTGAGAGGGTAATCATTGGGCAGGGCTTGATACTTGCTAGGGAAACAACAGGAGAAGAGAATGAAAAGGTGGGACAGCTGGCCATCGTGGCACTATGGTGCATTCAATGGAACCCAAGAAACCAACCGTCAATGACAAAGGTTGTAAACATGCTAACAGGAAGATTGGAGAATCTACAGATGCCCACAAAGCCTTTTGTGTCATCTGAAAGTC